GTAGTTGTTGTAGTAGTAGTAGTAGGAGTAAGAGTAGTAAGAGTAGTAAGCAGCAGCAGCAGCAGCTGTTGCAGAAGTTGCAGTAGGAGTAATAGCAGCACTTTGCAGCAGTAGTCTCTTGTGGCATGAGCAGCATCGGCATCAGTGGCAGAACATGTCTGACCACATCTGACCACACACTCTTTCTGGTTTATGCCGGGCCTGTACTCGTAGATGTCATCGCAGTACTTGTCGGAGTAGTCTGTCCTGCTGAAATTGCGGCATGAACTGAAGAACAGAGCTCGCAAGATAAGGCAAGCACTTGCCCTTAGAACAACAATAAGAAATCCATCAACCTATCCTCCTTGACTTGCTGATTTGCTGCACGGTTGTATCACCCCGATCCTGAACCCACCTCACAGTCTACAGTAAGCTGGAGAACCGCCGTGAGGCCCAGGCTCTTCGGCGTTTGCCAGGGTGGAAGCCAGAGTCACCTGTCTATCCAAGAATGCTAGCTGCCCCACTCTTCAATCCAACGTCTGTCTCAAGGACTTCAAAGCCCAAGCACATCGCAGCTTGCGTCGTCGGAATCAGGTGGCACAGTACATCAACAAAGCCTGCCCTGGCGACCGCAACACAAAGCCATAAAATAAATCCGACTCAGCTCCTGCATTATGAAGTTCACTTCAGGCCTGTCACAGCCCCTGAAGCGAAACCCCAGACAGCCAAGCCCTTGCCTGCGCCTGTGCCAGAGTCTGCTGAAGCAGCCTCTGTACGGCTCCCGGCTCACTCTTGTGAGGGTGCAGTTTCTCGTTCAGGAGCTCAGCCCTTTTGCGGCTTGCGCCTTGAGGCTTAATTACGAGCTTGGTTTCAGTTTGGTCTCCGAAATCTGTGGTTGATGCGCCCATGCTCCCTGAATCTGGGCGAAAACTCTCCTTGCTGTGAGCGGGTCGTGGCAAACAAAAACCTCATCCAAAGCCCGAGAAACACACCCTCGCACCAAACCCGCATCCCGCTTGACCCGTCGCCAAAGACATCTTATCAAGACGTACGGTGTTTAAAGCCATAGGCTCACAAGACCCTGAAGCCTGAAGCCTGCAAACTCAGTACCGTGCGCTGCATCCATGTTCATGTCGAGGTGGGGGCAGAGACGGGTAGGCACTACTTCCTCCGATGATCCTACAGGCTGCGGCTGGCATACTGAACATCTTCTGTCGTTTGAGTCGAACAAGCAGTCTGCACTCAGCCGAGAAATCCTCCGACTCCTGCTGGTCAAACTACACCCAAGCAAGCTGAAAGCTAGGGTTCTCTACCCGAATTTGCCTACAGAACGCCAGCTCACTCGCACGGTCAACACCCCTGATCGCTCGCCCGCCGAGTGTGCTTCTTGGAAGGTTCAGCTAGCAAGACGTGGATCAGTGCACTATGAAGGCCCTCGGCAGCCGCCATGAGCATGGCTTTGCCTGTCGGTTTTCTCTAAAATGCAACTATGCGACGGCCTTCAGTCCGACACCTCTCCACAAACTTGGTGAGATTGTGAGACGCTCTCGTAGACTTGCAATGCGGAAGGCAGGCATGTTATTACTCTATAGGCAGAGGTGCTTTTTAGCCTTGCATCGGACATGGTCCAACCTACGTCTATCTTCGGCATTTCGGTAGGCCCCTGCGGCATTCGAAGCATCGGCTCCCAGGCTCTCAGTCTTCCCCCTCCTGCGGATTTCAGGGCTTTCAGTGTTCAGAGTTTGGAGCTTTTAGGCTCAAGGCGGGAAGATCCTTGGCCTCTGCATCCTCAGAGGCCAGAGCAGGATTCGGGAAGGTGCTGCCCTGGGCCCTTACCCCCTGAACATCCCGGAATCCGAGGTCCCGTGACAGCTTCCAGTCTGAGGCTCGAAGCCCCCTGTCAGAGAGCTCCAACTCCCCGCGTAGAGGCGCTTAGTTTTCCCTATTTATATGCCAGAATATGTTAGAACAACATAATTATACAAATAATATATATTTTTTGTTTCAGAAGACCAGGATTCACGGCCCGAAGCCCAAAACTCGAATCGAAAGGCCCCTGCGGTCCAAAGACTAAGCCGAAAACAAATGAACCGCAGATGCGTAGGAGTTGGGAAATCATGTCTATAGGATTTCAATTTTCTTAGCCTATGCAAACAGCGAAACCTAACTCTTGGTTTGAAAATCTTGGGCCGGGAAAGGGTTGGATCTTCGTAGGAACTATCAGATCTTCCAGCCAACCTGCACTGCATATTCCAAACAATGCATCAGGCTGGAGTGCCTGTGGTCCGCTGAAGGGGACGGAAGATGAAAACTACACAATGAACTCCCAATTGCTATTTATCTTGCTGTGTCGGTATACTTATGTGCTTGCCTTTCCGTATGCAAGTGCATGCGTGGGTATGTAAGTATGTATTCCGGTAGGCCTGTCTGCCTGCCCGTCTGTCTGCCCGTCTTTCTTGCTTCTGTCTATCTTACTGCATGTATGTGCAAGTCCGTATAGGTGCATGTAGATGTCAGCGCATACAGACATGCACGTGCACACTTATAGAAACACATCATCTACTCCAGGCTGTAGCAGCACAAGCTGTTTCCCAGGGTTTTTTGGAATCGGAACCGAAAAGCCTAGCCCTGAAAGCCCGGCCCTACACTCCGACGTGGCCAAGCATTTAAAGTTTTAGGATGTCATCGGGCTGGAACACATGAGTCGTGAATGAAATTTGGATAAGTGGTCCTTAAAACAACTCTTGGAAGGTATCAGTCGCAATAAATCGGAGGCGTCTCCGGGGTCCACAACCGGCGGTTTCGTCTAAACCCTATCACTGATAGCTTTTTTGCTGCTTCTATGCATGAATCAAGCTGTCTGCACGACCCGTGGCAGTCCTCTGAACCTTCTTCGTCTTCGGGGTCAACCAACTCCGTAGCCCAGAGCTGGGCAAGGCGCTCCTTCGCAGTTGGAGCTGTTGCGCAGCTTTGGGTTGCACGTCCCACAAAGGTGGAGATGTTTTGGATAATTTCATGAAGCAGTTCATGGACTTTGACTGACGACGCTACCGGCCCATCTCAATCCGAGCCTCGCAAATCAAAGCTGCACCTTAACGGCCCTAACCTCCAGGATATTCATCGGCACTTCAGTTTCGTCCCACAAAACCGCTCAACCCCCTCCAGCCTCCTCGATTCGCAAGACCTCCTCGTACCAGGCCATTGTAGGATTCTGCCGTCGAGTGAGTTTCACGCACTAGCTCCCGGATGTGCTGGCTTGTGAAATTTTTCACCGGCATGTTGGGTGAAAGCTATCGGCTTTAAAGGCCTAGCTCCCAGGCTTTGCTAGTTTCAACATACCATCTCTGAAACCGTCCTTGACGATGTCCCACTCATGAACCCTAATAGGTCGCAGTCTCCCAATGCCACAATTAACACCAGCGAACCCTCAAGCAAAAAGAGTTCCAGCAGTGCAGGTCTCTCATCAAGACATGCTTCCAAATCTCTCAACCCTGCAGAGATGGGAGGCCGCAAAGAATGGCAAGTCGGTCACATGCCCGAGATAAACAAGCAGATGGTGCGAGAGACCATGAATTCACGGTTGCCAGACGGAGCCAAAGAGTTCGGACAATGACCACAGCTACAATGCAGCAAGCGTTTCGGCTTCTGAGGATTTCCAAGGGGGCCTGAACTCCCAATGCCAAGCACCCGAACCTTCACTCCTCTAATTACCCATAGGCTCCAAAGTAGTTCCTTTTTGGGGTTACCTTACAGGAATCTAAATATAAACCACAAAAAGGAACTACTTTGGAGCCTATGGGTGAACCCAGCTACCGGACTCGCGATGGTTTCTGCTTCGCCGGAGGTGGCCTCGTCCAACTTCTTGCGAACTCGGGTACGGCAGCGCTCGGCGCCCTTTCATCTTGAGGAGTCAAGCATTGCAACAGAAAGCGCTGCTGCTGCTACTTAGTTACACGCGGTTTCGGCCTGGAGGGTTAGAAATTTTTGGCAAAATCTACGTATGCTCATTCCGGCAAAAGGCCCTCAAGGAAAGAGGGGCACGCGAAACATGCAATGTCGTCCATGGCAACGCATAGCGCTAACTACCGCATCCCGTTGAAAAATGTTTCCGAACCCCCATAGGCCACGCAAAGCCTTGCAGTGTGGCCAGGCGGTTTTATAGACTGTTGGGACTTCCCACGTTTGGAGTCAAGACAGCTGGAGCTGCTAGGCGTATGTACCCTCCCTCTTGAGTCTTCAGTCAATGTCCACGTAAGCCCGCACGAGACTCTTGTACCCAAGACTGCTGAAACCCCCGGTCCGGGGATCTTCACAAATCCCAAGACCTAGAACTCAAAACCCAAAACCCAGCCCAGAAATGCCTGAGTGTCCACGGACATGAGTGTGTGGATGAGGTTCATGTCCCGGTTGCCGTGGTGATCCCCCTCGAGATGTGCATTTGCGGTAGCAGCCGCAACGGAAGCAGCAGCAATAGCAAAAGGAGGCGGAGGAGCAGTAGGAGTATGAGTATGAGAGGACTAGCAGTGGGAGGTGTAGCAGTAGTGGTTGTCGTCGCCAAGGTAGTCACTCCCCCCTGCTGCTGCTCCTAGTAACAGCACAAACTTGCTACTACTACAACGAGGACGACCACTAACGTCACTTTCCGACGACTCTAGCTCTAGCAGAGCTACTGCCGACACACATTGTAATGGCAATCATGCAAGTCATCATACTCATGATTTGATTCTGATTGCTTTGATGATGATTGCGGTTCCAAGTAAAAGATGTAATTTCGGTCCCTGCAGCCATGAAGTCATGTATTCTTGCTGCGATGGTCATTTCTCCATCCGCCCCTCGGGAAACATTATGAAACATTGCCCAAACTCAACTCTAGCAGCCTCAGGACAAACATCCCGGGGACCTACAACGCACAATAAAGCCAGGCACGACAATATGAACATGAGGCTCTTGCATGTCATGTTCGTCTCTGTAGCTACTACTACCTTTGATCAGGTTGTGCTCCTGTCGGCTGACGTGGTCATGGCCTAAGCGTTTCTCCCAGTGTTCTCTTGCTTGGAACCACGGCTGCAGCACTGCTGAGGCTCGGACGACATGATGTCGATCCTGAGAAGGGTAGAGACTCGGGGTGGCTTTTCAGGTTAGGGATTGGAGTGGCACTTTGAGATTAAGGCGCAAGATCAGACAACGGGCTGAAATCGGATCCGGCAGGGTTTACGACATTGCCAACAAAGTCACTCCAACTCCCAACAATCAAAGCCTGCATCTCCAACTCTAAACCCCTTTTGTCACGAGGGCACTTCCGTCTCCATACTAGTCTGACGGAGGAGAACTCCAAACCCCAGCTGAGACCGCTGCGTTCCATTGACATCGAAGGCCTACGGCCGGCAAAGAGCTTGACTTGGTGAGCTTGACCTGCAGATGTGCGTACTATTTTGGGACCTTAAAGGGGACCCCTGGTTTAGAGAACTACCGATGTGCGGGCTGCAGCTTGGGATGCGGTGGTCTAAGGTTCCAGGGTCCACTACCCAAAGGGTACCAGTATTGCACGACAGCAACGACAACTCCGATCCTATTGCTATTGAGTTGATGACCCGCTTTTTGAGCTGAGGCTTTCGGAACACATTGCAGTTTAGGAGTGCTGGGCTTTCTAAGGCTTGCTTCTGTTCGCATTCTTTTGGGGCTTCGCAGCTTCACAGTTTCAGGCTGCTGGAGCTTACATCGGGCCTCAGGGTCTCGTGCACGTCTGCGGGTTCCAGGAAAAGGACTTCCGGAGGTTTGGGAAACAAGGCCTTCAAACGATGACGGGTGATGCCGCAGATGCCCTACAAAGAAAGTCGAAGTTGGAAGTATCAGCAGCACGCTGCATCTGCCTAAACCCACAAGATCCCTCAACCCGAAAAGAACTCCGAAGCCACTCTTGGAATTGCATGACAAGGCTGGAGCCTGCCGCGGTCTCATGCCCAAGGCAAGATGCCCCAGGCCTGCAAATTCTTTCTATCATGAGTTTGACAAGGCAATCAATTTTTCTGTTGGCATGATCTTGCAGTCAGGGGATACAAACGGCTGCACGAACGGCTACACCCACCGACCACCGCACTGTGAGCCCTACCCAGCGGTTCTAGTACAATAACT